CTGAAATGTTCACTGAATGTGTGTGTGAATAAACGACTATTACTAGAGCAACATGAGTCACGGAATCGATCAACAAATATTTCCAAATGTCTACCACACTGGAGAATGGGGAAACCAAATACCCAAGGCAGACTGGTGTTTTCTCCCTACCTTCCCCTCACCCCCTGCCTGGGGGAAGGCTTCGCACCTCAGAGAGATAAAGAGTGTTCTTGAGGTGGGTCATAAGAAGTTGTCAGTATTAACAAAAGTCCATTAGTCTCCAAGGTGTTTTATATCAATGGACCTGAGGGACCCAAAGCCCCCTCCTGTGACCCACAGGATGCCACCCGCACCCCAAGTCCATGGAGGAGAACCAGACGGAGTGAAGGGAGCCAGGGCCTGGGAGAACAGAGGGGTGAACAGACTGAGGGGCCCAACGGCAGCATTTTCGGTAAGATCTTGCTGTTAATGGGGTGCACTTTCACACACTTGCCAACATATCAGGCCTAGTTAAGGGGTCACAAAACTATCACTCAGTTCAACAGACATTTACAGAGTGCTCCCAAAGTGCCAGGCCCTGCATAAGTTCAGGAAATACAAAAACAAACAATAAACAGCCTCTGCCTTCAAAGGCTCCCAACCAGTAACCTCCAGACAGTCCCTGCGCTACGACATGCCCCTCTCTGCCGTCCACCAACGCAGCCCTACCCCACCTGTGAGACCAGCTCAAGTTCCACCCAAGCCCGAGTCCCTCTTGGTCCCCAAGGAACTCCTGCCACTTCTGAAACTTGACTGCACTTGCATCTCTAGGCTCTATGAAGTATATTCATCTCCCTGGCTAGACTTGAGCCTCCTGAAGACAGAGACCAGTTTTAGAATTTTCCAGAAAGAATCCACACCCATGGTTTTTACCAAACCAAGCCCAGGCCAAGCCTGAGCCTTCAACTCGAGGACAGTCTCCACTGCCCAGTGCAGTGCCTGGGCCCCACAGGTGCTTTATAAACTCTGTGGTAGCAAAGTTACAATCAACTCTCCAACGAGCCAACGGGATGGGATGATTTGAAAACTGAGAGAGAAAGAATGATCAAACAAATCTCAGAAGGGGGTTGACTCATGATTTACCTCTTCTCCCCTCTTAGTGGAAACAAAGTCATCCCACCTGCTCTCACTGCCGCCTGGAGGCTTCCAGGGAGGGCTTCCTGTTAACCTTCCCTTCAGCCCCCACAAATATCACCCAGCATTCAAGCCCAGCCTCTCCTCTCTCTGAGCACATTTCCTATTGTCTCTGGAATGATGTCAAGTTTTACCGCAACCCTTAACATTTACTGTAAGTATTATCAGCTTTCTTCTTTTGCCTGGGGCCATTTCCAAACAAGGTCTGGAGCCAGGAGCCCCAGCAGCTGGGCAAACACTCTTTAGGGCTCCTTCCCTCCTGTGGCTCCTGTTTCTCAAACCCTCTTGGACCTGAAGGTCTGGGGGGTCTTCCACAACCCACTTCCCTCTCCTTTGGACTGGAACAGCCAAGCCACGGGCACCTCCCCGACAGATGGAAGAGGAAGCCTGACTGAACCCACTGCCCCAAGGGCAGTGTCTTAGGCAAGGGAGAACTGTCTCTCCTGGATCCTGCTCTGCTGCCACCTCACGTGGCTACAAAATTGGAGGGAACTGTGAACAGAGCGAGGACAGCACAACTTCCCAGGCAACAACACTGCTATTGCCGATATTGTGCCAAGGATGGGAGTGGGAGGACAGAGGGGACACAGACCATGTCATCCTCTCTTCTGTCAACACTTAGCACCCACTTTCCTGACAAATATTCAGCTAGAAAGAATCACTGCAAGGTATAAGGAAATCCAAACGAGAAAAAAAGACTTGAGGAAGAAATAACGCACCAGGGGTGGGGAGGCGGGCAGGAGTACAGGAGGGAACAAGCACTGCTGCCAAGTTATCAGTCACCTTATGTTCTTAAGAGTGCCGCACTTTTGTTTGACCAGTTTTACCTCCCAGATTCCCGTAACACACATGGTCTGATCTGTTACCTAACAGCAAGGCCAGCGTCACCTCACCTGTTCTTGCCCTCTAATGGGAACACTGGCCTGGGACTAACGTGCAGACTGACCGCCGGGCCGAGTACCTGCCCTGAACCATCCCGAGAGATCAGGACCCTCTACCTGGGAACCTCCATCCACTCTTCAAGCCACTCACCGCAGCACCGACAGTCGCAATGAAAGTTCTAGTCTCTTCCGTCCTTCTGTTGCTGCCACTAATGCTGATGTCCAGGGTCTCTAGCAGCCCAAATCCAGGTAAATAAGATTAATTGTCTATGGAGGGGAAAAGGGAGATAAAATGTGGCAAAACGGGCCACACCTGCATCACAATGTAACTACAGGGATTTGGGATGAGTGAGCCTTTCTCAGTGCCATTTACCAAAAGGAGGAACCGTACTTACACCCAAATGGTGATGTGAGGGTTAAATGAGGTATTGTGTGTGAAAGTGTCTGCATCTGTAGCTGGCAAAATATGTATATATAGGTAAATATTAGATGCTCCTTTGCCTTCTCCCCCAACCCCTTTGTGGAAGAGGGATGTATTTCCCCAGGCCCAAACTTGGTGGTGGCGGTGGGAGGGTGTGGAAGGCAACTGTACATTCATAGAAGACAAGAGTCCTTGCTGGTGTTCTTTACAGCACCCCGGACATGCCACCAACACTTTCTAGTGGTATTTAATGGTAATATAATAAACCAGAAAAATCCTACCACCAGGTAGTGTCCATGTTTGCAGCCTTAGCCATACCAAGCCCTGTTGGAAGAGCTCACCTTTTGGGAAGCAGACCTTTGGTTAAGGGTCCAAATCTGCTCCAGTTTTCACTACAGCCAAAGTAGCCCAGCCCTTTGCAGAACAACCACGCAGAAGAGAGCTCATCCCATGTATATTCCTACCTGGGAGTGCCATCTCCCAAGGGCTACTTTGAGGCGAAAACAGCTTTGTTACACACTCAGCATCAACTTGGTCCTGAAATCAGGAGTTCATCCTACTCCACTCCAGTTCCAAACTTCCCTTCCTTTGTAGAGAGAGCTCTCTGGAAGCTGCTGAGCCCCATGGCCCCAGGGCCTGGTCCACCATTCTGGAAGGGAAGGCTTTTCCATCACTAGGACAGACACTGAGGCTGGAGTCCTCAGCCTGGATTCAAAGCTCTAGCCCCCGTCTGCCTCTCCAGCACCTCCTTCTCCACTCACTAACAGATACTCCATGCTGCATTCAAACTAGACCATTTGCTCTTCCCTGAACAGGTCAACTTTGCTCGTCCACCCAGCTCAAAAACCACCTCCTCCCCCAGCTTCCCTCAGTCCCTCCCACAACCAGACTCAATCACCACCACCCCCACCAGGTTTAGCGCCCCCAACCCCGACTCTCTTCTTGCACTTATCACCTTCTGCCTCATACTGGAGGTGTTCCTGGAGGTTCCTCCTACCTCCAGCCCTGCCCTTCCAGACTGCAACCTCCTTAGTGGCACAAACTGGTATAGTGTTTCCATAATCTTCACACTATCGAGCACAGTACTCAGCAAATATTAACTAAGTGAAAGAAAACATCCTCAGGTTTCTGAGTTCAAAATGTTGCCCTCTTAAGACTCTACACCAGGGCTTGATAGCAGCCCTATTGACATTCAGGACTGAAAGTCTTCACTGCGGGAGCTGTTCTGTGCACTGCGAAGTGTTTAGCTGCATCCGCGTGGCCTCTATCCACTAGATGCCAACAGCAGCCTTCCCCTTCCTCACCCCCAACCTGTTATGAAAGCCAAAAATATCTCCAGACATTGCCCAATGTCCCCTGGCAGGGAGCCACCCCCAGCTGAGACCCACTGCCCTATACCAATAGTTCTCCAACCTGACTACACATTTAGACTCCCCTGGACATTGAGACTCAGTCTCAAAGTCAGGGGGACCTAGATCCAAATCCTGGCTCTGCCACTCACCATGCAACCCTAAACAAGTCGCTTCACTTTTTGAGCCTCAGTTTTATCATCTTAAATGAATAAAATACCGCTTCTCACACAGACTCGTGAAGATTGAAGATTAAATGATCTCTAATGTGATCTACAAAGAGTTCAGTAAATGGACTGAATGGAATTTCTAAAGTAGCTCCTAAAGCACAGGCCATGAAACTGGGGAAAGCTCACTGTGTGGCCAGGCAGCGTGATCACAAACCTCATCAGCTGGGTGGTGGCTGGGCTCAAGCCTTGTTCCCCAGCCAGGCAAAGTTTTACAATGTGGGCCTAAGTCTGAGCTAATTAGTGGGTAGAGGAAACGACACACCCTAGACCCCAAAATAATTCTCAAAATAAATCTAATCTTATTTTCTCTCTTAAAATAACCACATACATGCTCAACATGCTTTGTACAGGGGATAGGAAAAAAAAGAAATATATGAGGATATTAGGAAATAAATTACTCATAATAATAATTAATTAATTATAAAATTACTTATAACAATAGGTGAAGTGCTAAGAACTCCTATGTCTCAGGCACTGTTCTAAGCACTTTACACATACTACCTCATTTTTGTCCTCACAGAAATCTATGCATTTTTTTAAATTTTTCTAATTCTTTAGTTTATGGATTTTCAAAAATATTGTAAAAATATTCAGAGTCCCAGTATATCCTTCATCCAGTTTTCTCCAAGTAACTAGATGGGTTACTTGGGTTCAGTACAGGCCAGGCATGGTGGTTCATGCCTATAATCCTAGCACTTAGGGAGGTTGAAGTAGGAGGATCGCTTAAGGCCAGCAGTTCAAAACCAGCCTAAGTAACACAGCAAGATCCTGTCTCTACAAAAAATTTAAATTAGCCAGGTGTGGTGGTGCACCCATGTAGTCCTAGCCACTCAGGAGGCCAAGCCAGGAGGATTGCTTGAGGACAGGAGTTGGAGGTTGCAGTGAGCTGTGATCGAGCCACTGTACTCCAGCCTGGACAGCAAAGTGAGACCCTATCTCAAATAAATAAATAAATAAATAACATCTTATATAATCATAATACGATTATCAAAACCAGGAAATTAGCAGTGATACAATAATATTAACTAATCTACAAATATACAAATTTTGCTAATCATCCACTAATGTCCTTTTTCTGGTCCAGAGGCCATTGTAGGATCCCACGCCGAATAAAAATGTCACATCTCTGCAATGGATGGATCTCTACTGGGTAAAAGAAAAAAAAATGTCATGTCTCCTAAGTCTCCTGCAATCTAGAGTAATTTCTCAGTCTTTCCTTGTCTTTCATGGCCTTGAGGCTTTTGAAGAGTTCTGGTGAGCTGTTTTGTAAGAGGCCCCTCAATTTGGGGTTTTCTGATGTTTCCTCATAATTAAGTTCAGGTTATATATTTTGGGGAAGAATACCACAGAAGTGACATGTCCTCAGTACATCACATTGAGAGGCCTAGGATGTTGATATCTCTCATTACGGGTGGTGTTAACTGTAAGAACTTGGTTAATGTGGTGCCTGCCAGGTTTCTCTTCTGTAAAGTTACTCTTTGTCCCGTTGTAATTAATAAGTACCTTATGGGGAGATACTTTGGGACTATGCAAATAGCCTGTTTCTTCTCATCATACTTTTAACCATTAATTTTTAGAATCCACTGATGATTCTTGCCCACAAACAATTATTACTGTGGCGTTAGCCAAATAATGATTTTCTATTTCCATCATTCCTTCTACATTTATTAATTGGAATTCTGTTATAAGAAAGAGCTTTCGAGACCAGCCTGAGCAAGAGCGAGATCTTGTCTCTACTAAAAATAGAAAGAAATTATTTGGACAACTAAAAATCTATATAGAAAAAATTAGCCGGGCATGGTTGTGCATGTCTGTAGTCCCAGCTACTCGGGAGGCTGAGGCAGTAGGATTGCTC